ATATATATATATATATATATGTATATATATATATATATGTATGTATGTATGTATATATATCTATTATTACAATCTCTCCAAAGTGACATTTAAAAAAGTGCGTTCGAAACTAGTGTGCGTATTGTGCGTTGAGCATGAGGATTCGCGAACCCGAGACTCCGAAGCGGGGGTCGCAGCAGTCTTCCCGGGGGGCGACGCGGACTGAAAACGTGTCTCACCTGAGCGCTTCTTTCATTCCCATGTACACGGGTAGACGGTGGACTAACTTTGAAAATTAGCGTTTCGAACATCTGGAACCTTTTAGTTGCATCTAAGTATACTAGTGAAGTATATACTTTCTTATGTATGTGTTAGGGTATGAGGTGGAACGCAAAGGGAATAAGTGGTGGTGTTATTGTCATTGGTATTATTATAAATTTACATGGTAATTCGGTTTTCTAGGAAAAACGAGTGTTATAAATCGTCTTCAGAATTGCGAAAGAAATTCTGTTTATCGGTATAGCATGAAAACATACAATGACTTATCAGTAATAGTATGTTTTCATTTTGTTGAATGTTGAATGATTTAGTGTGTAATATAATTAATGAAATAATTCAACTTGTGAAATATTGGTCAATTTAAATAAAAATACTGTGAGAAGATAACCTATATAATTAATTCTACTAAGAAATGAGAAAGATCTAATTGTACTGGATAATGCTTATAGATACATATAATAAGGAATGCTTAAATAAGACTATAATAGAAATGAGGACTAATACTCGAAAAAAACAATAATTCTGAAATAAGTAATAGAAAAATAACTGTTTAACAAAAGAATACTAAACGTAGTAACTAGTGATTAAAAATATATTTATTAATATTTATTCATTAATTCATGAACGTATAAATTCAAGAAAATAATAGAAGCTGCAAACTTTACGAACTTCAAGATATATAGTTGATACTTATCTATAGGCTATAATATAAGCTACTTTTAGTACTTCATAGACAACTTAAAACTTACTTTTACATATGCTATCAACCTACACTGTACTGCACTGTACTACAAGAGGGATTGTTACGAGATATATTATATATATATATATATATATATATATATATATATATATATATGTATATATATATATATATATACATATACATATATATATGTATATATATATATATATATATATATATATATATATATATATATATACATATACATATATATATATATATATGTATATATATATATATATATATATATATATATATATATACATATACATATATATATATATATATATATATATATATATATATATATATATATATATATACATATACATATACATATATATATATGTATATATATATATATATATATATATATATATATATATATATATATATATATGTATATGTATAAGTTTATATATAGAGAGAGAGAAACAAAGAAACATTATCATCAGCGCATCACAATCAGATGGTATCAAGTCAGGTAATTCAGACAAACTTCATATTGCACTCACCGCAATGATTTTCTTTTGCCAACAAGAAAATATGGATTCCGTCTCGGCTGTCGTCTCAGCCACAAGTTCAGACAAGGCTTGGGTTGCATAAAAGCAGTTATATAAAGACATAAGTTTCCTAGAAGATATGGATAGAATCGGATTTTTTTTTTTTTCTCTTTTTTTTTGTATGTGTAGGCGATTCAGAGAAGATGCAGCAAATAAGAACATTTCTTGAAGTTTTCCACACATAGTAAAATTGTATGGCGCAAGGTTACCGAACCTAGATACTTTTGTGCTGCAGATATTAGCCAGCATATAGTAATTATGGTATATTTTACTTTCTAAACAGAGGGCTGTTGTGAGGTTCGGCGCAATGATCTCACCGACATTATTCAGAACAAACCCAGAGGAAAATACAGAATGTATGGATTTTTTGGAAGGTCTCTTGAAATCAAAGTTGTCCGTAAAGTAAAATGCTATATAATTTTCACCAGGCATATTGTTCAAGATAGACAATTATCTTCATGATCTGCAAGGTGATAATGTATCTTAATATACTGTGAATAATTAGGTTCTTATTATTTGGACTGGTTTAGTCTCGGGTTGGATCGAAACACAATTCATCCTTTATGTTTACTACACTCGTACATATACAATAGTTCACACAATTATTGCACTCCCTTTTTACCACTTTAACAAAAATATAATTTCCTGTTTCAGATCAGCTTCAGTTTTCCTTCTTTCGTTGACTTTTCGGTCACACTAGACAGGGCAGGATAAAGAATGGGAAAAAATGGAGGCGCCTCTTCTGTTCGGCCCTTGACAGCAGTAGGTCCCTATGTGGAGATAAATTCCCGAACATAAATTAACGTTTACGTTACTTACCTAATTTTAAATAATTATTAAATTCTATAAACACTCGCTCTCACCCTTCTGTATCCTGGTTCTTTTACCTTCAAAGTATCATTTGATGCAAGCTGTATATGCAGACTTATAGCTA